GCAGTTTTACAATTGTGCTTTCTTCTTTTTCAGTTGTAAGAGTTATTTATATTCCAGTAAAAAGTTCTTGTCAGATATAGGCTTTGCAAGCAATTTTTTCCAGTTTATGGCTTGCATTTTTATTTTATTAGTGATGACTTTCAAAGAATAGATGTTTTTAATTTTGATGAAATCCAGTTTATTATTTTTTTCTTCATACCTAGTGTTTTTGTGTCCTAAGAATACTTTGCCTATCCCAAGGTTTCAATGGTTTTTGTAGTTATACCTTTTACTTTTAGGATTCTGATCATTTTCAGTTTATTTTGTCCATGGTGTGTGGTAAGCATCAAGTTGTTTTTTGTTTTGTTCTTTTGTTTTTTTGTTTTTTTTATCTTATACAGATACAACCATTGTTCCAGCACCCATTGAAAAGTTTATCTTTTCTCATTACCTTAGCATATTTACCAAAAATCAGTTGACCATATATATATATATATATATATATATATATATATATATATATGTCTATTTTGGGGCTCTACTCTGTTCCATTGTTCTAATAAGTGTTGAAAGGTTATCCGTGTTATGGTATGTATCAGTATTTCATTCCTTTTTACATCTGAATGATATTTCATCATATGACTATACTACATTTTGTTTATACATCAGTTGATGAACATTTGGGTCACTTTAACTGTTTGGCTATTGTCAGTGGTGCTGCAGTGAATATTTGTGCACAGATTTTTCTTTGGACATCTGTTTTCAATTATTTGGGGTATAATTGTAAGGCCAATTGGTAATTCCATGTTTAACTTACTCAAGAACCACAAAGCTATTTTCCACCGAGAATGCATTGTTTTACATTCCCACCACAAATGTACAAGGGCTCCAATTTCCCTACATCCTTACCCGTACTTATTTTCTGTGTTCTTCATTATTTTGTTATTTTTTGTTATAGCCATCCTAGTGGGTATGCAGTTGTATCTCTTTGTTATTTTGTTTTTTTCATCTGCATGTTTCTTTGTTTTGCCATATTGTTCTCACTTGGACCATCAATACAGTGTGGAATAGAAATGGTGGATGAAGTCATCCTGTGTCTAATCTTACAGTAAGAGTTGTCTTTCACCATTGTGAATTTAGCTATAGATTTTTCATAGATGTCCTTTATCAGGTTGAGAAGGTTTCTTTCTATTCTTAGTCTTCTAAGAGTTTTTATCATGAATGGATGTTGAATTTTATCAAATAATTTTTCCATGTGTATTGAAACTTCATGTTTTCTTCTATATCTTGTTAACATGTTGAATTATGTTGAATGATTTTTGCCAGTCTTATTTATCTTTTCAAAGAACCAACTCAATTAATTTTTCTATTGTCTTTTTGTTCTCTATTTCATTTATTTCCACTCTAATTTTTAATTATTTCCTTTCTTTTATTGATTTTGGAATTCATTCTTCTTTCTCTAGTTCCTTAAGCTGTGATGTTAGATTATTTGAAATTTTTATTGTTTCTTGAGATAGGCCTGTACTGCTACAAAGTTTCCCTCTTAGTACCACTTTTGCTGAATCCCAAAAATTTTGGTATGTTGTATTTTCATTTGTCTCTGTGTATTTTTTTAATCTCTTATTTTTTCTTTGACCCAATAGTTGTTTAATCTTCACATATCTGTGGTTTTCAGCTTTCTTTTGTTTATTTCCAATTTTATATCTCTGTGGTTGAAAAAAATGCTTGGTATAATTTCAGTCTTCTCAAATTTATTAAGACTACTTTTGTGCCCCCAAATATGATCTATCCTCAAGAATGTTCCATGTGAACTTGAGAAGAGTGTGTATTCTGTGGTTTGGGGATGGAAAATTCTAGAAATATTGTTTATTTGTTCCAACGTATCATTTAAGGCTGATATCTTCTGTTGACTTTCTGTTTGGATGATTTATCCATTGCTGTCAACCGGGTAATCAGGCCCCTTACTAAACTGCTTTTTTTTGTCAGTTTGTCCCTTTAGGTCACTTAGTAATTGCTTTATATATTTTGTTCTCCTAGGTTGGGTGCATATATATTGATAAATGTTATATCTTCTTGATGACTTGTCTCTTTATCATTATAAAATGTCCATCTTTGTCTCTTGTTACCTTTTTTTAATCTTACCTAGTTTTACCAGTTGTAATGGTGAGAACATATCTAATAGCTCTTACTCCAGCATTGCCAGAGTCAATATTTTCTTTTTACTGGAATTAATTTTTAAGTAAAATTTTAATTTTACAAGTATAATATATTCTCTCATTAAAATAATCATGGGAAAGTTAAAGTTTCCTTTTAGGTAATTTTTTAAAAAAACATTTACATATATATGTTTCCATAGAAAAGTAAAATACTGTCTTTTAGGCTGTATATGTTTTAACATCATAATACAGAATGTAGTTATTTCTCTTCCACTTGCTTTTTTAAAATAAAAAGCAATATGTGTTAGAGATGTACCTTATAAGTGCAAACAAATCTACATCACATTCTTTATATGTCATGATTCTATTTTCAGTGAGAATAGATGGTCCTCACTAGCTCATCTTCTGAATTTTACAAATGCTTTTCATTGTTTCTAGGCCTTTCCAGACACCCTGCAATGTTGCCCTATTTCTCTCTCCCCAAATACTACTCTTGGCTGGAGACAGTCACACTTCAACTTACTTCTAATAGTTTGCCAGATCCCTTCTTCTAGTTTTCACCTCTTTGTCCTGGTCCATCCTCTGTGTGGTTCTGATCCATTTTGTACTTGGATACAGTATGCTGTTGTTTCCCTCATTAATCTTTCAGAGGGTCCTCTCAATGTCTGGTTCATTGACATTTCTCTTTTCTAGTTTAGCTATTGATTTTGTTATTTTGAAATATCTTTCATAGGTTTTGTGGTTTAACAGGGAGAATACACTGGAATATGGACTCACTTTGCCATTTTGAAACCAATGAGTAAATACCTCTCTGCCTGAAATTTCCCTATATAATTTCATGAGAATCTATAATAAAATAAACTTTTGTATGTTTGTCCAACACTCTGGTGAGGAGACATGTATTAGGGAGCAGTAAGATGATTGAACTAGAAGTTATTACTAGCATTTTCTCTTCTCTTCCTAACTTTGCTTCCATTCAATAATACCCTCTTCATATTGCCCAGCCCTCTCATTATTATCACTATTGACATGGAAAGTTGCATTTTGTTAACCAGAATTGGAGTGCAGACATCATGAATAAAACGATAACATTGTTTTCTGTGCCCAACTATAAAACCTTCCCACAGCTTTGTATTCTCCATTGAAATATTTTCAACCTGTGTTGTATATTTTTAAACATTAGAACTGGAAGAATAACAAAAGTTTTCTTTCACCATTATAATTTTGAATTTGGTTTAGCACTGATTACTGTTTATGGTGTATTAAATGCCATTGTGCACAGTATATAAAATAATGAAATGTGCTCTAACCTAAAATAATGAAATGTGCTCTAAACTATATCAATAGCTCAAGACCTTTTGCCCTTTTAATTTGCATTGTGATTTTTGTGGATGCTGTCAGAAATTAGATTAAGATAGCTTCTTTATAGATCTTTCTAATATGTAAATAAATCATACTGAAACTTTTTGTCTACACTGGGCTACCATTTAATTGTTGTTTTTTTGTTTTGTTTTTTATCCTCACCAGAGGACATTTTTTCATTTTTTGTTCAAATAGAGTGGGAGGAAGAAAGAGAGCGAAACATCGATGTGAAAGGGAAACATCTAGTGGCTGCCACCCACTCAACCAACCAGGGCCGGGGACAAACTGCAACCGATGCACGTGCCCTTAGCGGGAACCGAACCCGGGTCTCTCTGGACCACAGACTGACTGACTCTCTAACTGCTGAGCCAAACCAGCCAGGGCGCATTTAGTATTTTAAGATCTACTAATGGGAGGGAAAAGTGATGCAAGGTCCAGAAGGATCAATTTGAAGTATTAAACCTAGAAATTCTGGTGATCCTGGTTCCAGATCACAATTCAGTGAAAGGTTCTTAAAGAGATTCAGTTTCATGTCATTTATATCACTGTGAGTGGAAGCTTATAAGGTATGTTTTGGAATATCCTTGTTTGTTATTTTGTTAACCTGTTTATAGTAAAAAGTCATGCTGGTGTTTGGGAAATCTAAAAAAGAATTGTGCTTTGGCAACTTGCGTAGCTGCTGCTTATAAAATCTGATCCTGAGGAAAGAAGAACACTTTCCTTATTCTTCTCAATCAACACTTTTCTGTCATTTCATAGAATGAAATTGTGTAGACTCAGAAGGGGCCTTAACAAATTATCTAGTAGTGTTTTACAGATGTAGAAACTGAGACCCAGAGAGGTAAAGCAACTGGCCTAAGGTCACGTAGTAGTGAAGAGCCCGTATCTCCACCTTGGCCTACCCTGTCTCATCCTAACGTGTTGAGAAGCCATACTGTCTCAAGTATAACCACATCTATTCCTACAAAGCTACTTCAGAAAGCCATAAGTGTCTCTTTATGAAATTTTGTTTTTTCTTCAGGGCTTTCCCAGCTGCCTGCTCAATTGACCCTCTCCTTCACCTTCTTGCACTTTTTCTTGATCATTTGATAGAAAGAATATAGCATCTCCCTTATTCTGTCATTAGTAGAATCCAGATAGAATCAGACACTGAAGGCAAGGGAAAATTGTCATGATTGGCACTATTTTTCTCACAAACACAGGGAAAAAAAATAAAGCGCTGAATTTGTCCAATAAGTAACATACTGCTAAATTTTAAATTTAATGAACTCAATGAAATGGAGGGCTTGCTTTTTTTTAAATTTGCAGGTAGTTATTCCAGGAACTTTTTTTTCTTTCTTGTCTTTGTGGGTTTGTTTTTGGATATGGGAGTGAGGAGAGGAGGGCAGTGTGTATTTCCTTCCTAGTCAAAACTGAATTTATATTTTTGTGTTTTATTCATATATTAAATTTGTGAAATAAATTCTGAACTGGTAATAACTATCATGCATTTTTATATAACAGGATAGATATGATTCAGCTGATGATAAAAATACTTGTCATGTGTGGCACATGAACACAGAAGCCCTTCCAGAATGGATAAGCCACGTAATACAAAAAGTAAGTTCCCAGTGTCAGAGTAAAATTAGGAATATACTACCTTCAGAATGTTTTTGTCCTTATTTTAGAGCTTTTTTTCTTAGATGCATTGTTTTAACAGACATGAAAGGGTGTATAACTCTTTTTGAAATTTTATTTTTCAAAAGAGACTTGTCAGTAATATATAGTACTTTTAAATACACATAAGTACATCTTACATATATAAGTACATGAATTAGTATACACATACACATGTATACACTCACCCACACACACATAATTGCCCCACTCCCCTACAAGAATATAAACTCCATGAAGTCAGGGCTTTTTCTATTTTGTTTGTTACTATATCCCCGGCATCTAGTACACTGTCTATTGAGTGAATGAAATATCCTGTATATATTATTCATGTATGCACACACATATAAAATATGGATAATTAAGGACTCTTCTGGCTTAGTAAAATAAAAAATTTAAGGCTCTTTAATGAAATATTGTAAGAGCAAGAACTCAACCTTGTTAACAGTATGGTACCCTTATTTCTCACAATTCAAGACACTTAAGTCTTAGAAAACTATAAGTAATATGATTTTTAGAAAAATATAGTTGTTTCTCCACTGGCTAGCTTAACTTTTGTTGTTGTTGTTGTTGTTAAACGATAACATTTGATAGTTATTCCTTGTATCTATTCTCACATTGTAATGATTTCCAGGGAAAATGCCAATGTGGTGCTTGTACATGTCCTGAACTTGACAAAATGTATTAGAACACTGCAGATGTTCCACTATCTCTGTTGAAAAGATCATTTTAAGCCAGCACATCACTAATTTTGAGTCTGAGTATAAAAATGCTCCATCTGATGTGTGCAGCCAGTATCTTTTGGTTGTATGTAAAAAGGCAGGAAGAGCTTTATTCTGATGGTTGGGTCAAGTTCCCTCCCACAGTGCTTGGTATGCAAGAAGTGTATCAAAACAGACACTTTTCTGTGAAATTTTACTTGCAAATTAAGCTCTGTAGACGGATGTGCTTCCTGGTTCCATAGTGTATTTTTCTTTTCATTAGTTCACACTGTATCCATATTCAACCTATTGTTTAAGAGATTCATTTAGAAGTCTTAGAAGTATTGTCTAGATGGGCCTGATGTGCAATATGTTATGATTCTCAAACTTTGGAGCTGCTTATCTCTATTTATTAGAAAGCTTGTTTCCATGCACTGTTCTGTCTGCTAATCAGAAAACAGAAAGCCAGCCTTTTCTGTGGCATAGAAACCTTTCATGTGGTTTGCTTAAAAAAACACACACACACAATTCACATTCTTTTTGATTAATTTACAATGAACACATTGTCTTTATTTTCCTTTATTACCTGTAGGCCCAGTGGACAGTTGGAAAATTGAACTGCCCCTTTTGTGGGGCCCGTTTAGGGGGCTTTAATTTTGTCAGCGCTCCAAAATGTTCCTGTGGCCAGCGTACAGCTGTACATCTCTCCAAGAGCCGGGCCGATTATCAGCCAGCACAGGCAGGCCGACTGACGAGACCGTCGCTGAGATCCGTGTCACATGCCAGAGTGCAGTCAGGTTGTGATGCGGAAACTCTGCTGACAGGTGGCGCCTTCAAAACCAGAAATCACAGGCTTTTAAACATGGCTCAAAACGATAACGGTCCCGGAAGACTGACAGAGGCACTCTGCCTGGAGGTCCGGTCTCAGAAGGAAAAACTGCTCTGCAAAGCAGGCGATTCGAAATACCAGCTTTTTGTTCCCCAGCCTGTGCCGGGCAGGTCCCGCAGAAGGGCTTCCCACAGGAAATCCCACAGCTGGGATCTGAACACCCGTGAGGAGCTGACTTTGGTGCCCACACCATACGAAATACACAGTGAGACCACGGCCTGCCCCAGACCAAGTGAGACACAGCCTCGCGGCCTTGCGAATTTGCCTCTAGAAGCTGATACAAATAGGTGTTCCTTTCAGATGTCATCAAGTTTTGATGCTGACATGCGGCTGCAAAGATTTTCAGTGGGTCCCCGTGAGAACCAGGCACAGAGAGGAGGAGGACTCCGGTGTGGTCTAGAAGCTTCCGCAGTGTACTCTGACCACGCTAATTCCGACAGCCTGGCGTTGCTGGTGGACCTGCCGCCAGCTGGCCGCAGTGCGCCCGAGGCCCCGGGCCGGGAAGGCCGGCCCTCTCCCCTGGGCCTCCTGCGCTCCGGCGGCTGTTCATTGGGTGCCGTTAATCAGAGGCTCAGCAAGAGAGAAAGGAGCAAGTTGAAGAATCTGAGAAGAAAACAACAAAGGCACGAAAGATGGTTGCAGAAGCAGGTAATTTTTTAAAGGAGTTTACTAAAAGTTCTGTATTATAAACGTTGAGCGTTGGGCAGAGGAGCTAATTTTAAATACCTGTATTCTATGAAAACTTGATTTTGATAAATTTTGAAATGACATTTCTCTCTAGGTGAACTTAATAATTATGTAGTGCCACCGCAGTTGACATGTTTCACTCTGTCTCTATGCTCACACATGTTTAGAAAATATTCTTTTGTGAAGTTTTTCCCAATACTATTAATATTTTAGAGGAATAGTAATCTCCATGATATTGAGACTAGATTGTCATATACATTTTAAATTTATTTGAGTTAGGATTTTTTTCTGTTTACGTTGAAGCAAAAAAGTTTCTCTAAGTAAATCTAATCTAGTGACATTCATTCCTTTTCATCACATTTGGCTTAAGTGGATATTTTTTTAATTATCATGCAATAAAATTGCTTTGTTCTTGGAATGCACATCTATGATTTAAACACATGTATAGATTCATATAACAACCACCACCATGGAGATAACAGTTCTTCACCCCCAAAATCTCCCTTGTGCCTTGATTATATCTTTATATTCACACCCTTGTCCCATTCCTAATCTCTGAAAACCACTGTTGTATTCTCCACTATTTAGTTTTGTCTTTTTGATAATGTTATAAATAATAATATAATGCCATAAAATTGGAATCTTATAGTATATAACATTTTGAGACTGACTACTTTTACTCAGCACAACTGCTATGAGATTCATCCAAGTTGTTGCATATATCTATAGTTCTTTTTAATTGCTCAATAGTATTCCATTGTATGAATTAATGAGTTTATCCATTTGGCTGTTGAAGAATAGGTGGGTTGTTCCAGGTTTTGGCAATTATGAAAAGCACTGTTATAAACATTCATGTATAGGTTTTTGTGTAAACCTGTTTTCATTTCTCTAGGGTAAATACCCAGGAGTGGGATTGCTGAATCATATGGTAAGTGTATATTTAACTTTATTAGAAACTGTCAAATTGTTTTCCAGAATAGCTATTCCATTTTGCATTCTGAACAGCAGTGTATGGGAGATCGATTTGCTGTGAATCCTTGCAAACACCTGGTAGTCTCAAAATTTTTTTTTTTTTGTCATTCAATAGATACTATGGTGGTATCACATTGTGATTTTACTTTGCATGTACCTAATGATGTTGAACATTTTTATGTGCTTATTTTTTCTTTTGCATATATTCTTTAGTTATGTGTCCAGATGTTTTGGTAATTTTTTAATTGGGTTATGTTCTTTGCGGTGAGTTGTAAATGTGCTTTATATATTATAGATGAAAGTTCTGTAATAGATATGTGAGTTGTAAATTTTTATTCATCCAATCTGTAGCTTGTCTTTTTATTATTTCAACAATTTTCTTTTTCTATAGAGCAAACAGGTTTAATTTTGATGAAGGCCAATTTCTCAATTGTTTTATGGATCATACTTTTTGTGTCATATCTAAGAATTCTGCCTAATCCTAGGTTATGAAGATTTTCTCCTGTGTTTTTTTCTGAAAGTTTTATAGTTTTACATGGAGAATTATGACTCATTTTGAGTTAATTTTTAAATAAGATGTGAGGTTTAGATCAAGCTGGGTCCATTGTTTTTCATTGAGATTCTAGATTGTTCTAGCTGGCACCATTTGTTGAAATCACTATTCTTTCTCCATTGAAATGCTTTTGCAGCTTTGTCAAAAATCAATCGACTGTATATGTGTGGCTCTATTTCTGGACTCTCTATTCTATTCAGTTCATTTTTTATCTCTCTTTGCCAGTGTAGCCCTTTTTCTTGGTTGTAGCTTTGTAGTAAGTCATAAAATAGGGTACTGTGATTCCTCCAACTTTATTGTTCTTTTTTAAATTGTTTGAGTTATTCTAGTTCATTTGCATTTCCATAGCAAATTTAGAATTAGCCTGTTTATATTTACCAAAAAATAAATTTAAAAATCCTGTTGGGATTTTGATTGAAATTATGTTAATTCTATATAGAGCAACTTGGGGAGAACCGAAAGCTTAACTGTGTTGAATTTTCTAATTCATAAACATGATATGTCTCACTTTTTATTTAGGTCTTCTTTTATTTCATTTATCAATATTTTGCAGTTTTCGGCATTGGGAGCCTGTGCATGTTCTGTTAGATTTATAACTAAGTATTTACTTTTTGATGTTATTGTTACTTTTTTAAAAGTTTTGTTTACCATTGTATATTGCTAATGTATAGAAGCACAGTTGATTTTTATTTTGACTTTGTATCTTGTGATGTTAGGAGTATAGACCTTTAACATCTTTTATTGTTAAGTACTCATATTTTTATAATGTTGGTTAATGGTATTGTTTTATTACATTTTAATTTCCAATTGTTCATTGATAATATTTAGAAATACAATGGATTGTTTACATTGATCCTATATTCTACAAACTTTCTAATCTCATCTGTTAGGAATAGTAGTTTTTTGGTAGAGTATATTGGATTTTCTACTTATATGAGATGTTGTCTGCAAATGAAGACAGCCTTACTTCTTGCTTTCCAATATGGATTTTTTTTCTTGTTTGTTATTGAATTAGGTAGAATATCCAGTACAATGTTGAGTAGAGGTGGTGAGAGCAGGCATCTTTGTCTTTTTCCTGCTGTTAGGAGGAAAACATTCAGCCTTTCACCATTATGTTTGTTAGTTGCAAGTTTTTTGTAGATGCCCTTTATCAGGTTAAGGAAGTCTCCTTCTGGTCCTAGATTGCTGAAAGTTTTATAATGAATGGATGTTGATTTTGTCAGATGCTTTCTCTGTATCAATTGATATGATCATGTGTTTCAATGTTAATATTGTGTATCAAATATTGAGCCAGTCTTTCATTCCCACAGTAGATACCACTTTATTATGTTGTATTTTTCTTTCTGTATATTGCTGGATACTATTTTCCAATTTTAGAGGATTTCTTCCCCCACCCCACCCCCCACCCCACCCTACCCCCGTATGTAAAGAATATTGGTCTGAAGTTTTTTTGTATTTTTATACTATCTTTAGTTTTGATATCAGGGTAGTGCTTGCCTTATGAAATGAGTTAGGAAGTGTTCTTTTCTCTTCCATTTTCTGAAAAATATAGGATATTTTTTAAAAAAATATATGCACAAATTTGAATAATTATAAAGCCAGCGTTTATTAAAATACATTTTATTTTCAAAATGTAGTAAAATCTATAGACACCTTCTGTACATTTTTTGGAGGACACCCTGTATTGGAGAATTGATGTTATTTAAAAAAATATTTGGTAATGAAACTATCTGGACTTGAATATTTTTTCAAAGATTTTTACCTGTGGATTCAATTTATTTAATAGTTATAGGACAATTCAGGTAATGTATTTCATATTGGGTAAGTTTTGGTATTTCATTGTTTTCAATGAATTATCTAAGTTTTTGAAATTATGTGTGTAGTGTTGTTATGCTATTTATTATGCTGTTAATGTCTGTTTGATCTATAATGATATCCCCTTTTCAATCCCGATAATGGCAGTTAGTGTATATATATACACACACATATATAGTGTGTGTATATATATATTCTCTTATTTATTTATCTATTTATTTATCTATTTATTTATCTATTTATTTATCTATCTATCTATTTATTTATTTATTTATTTATTTATTTATTACTTTGCTAGAGGTTTATCAATTTTACTTACCTTTCCATAGAAATTTCAATTATAACCTCTGAATTTCAATTATTTTTTCTACTGTTTTCTATTGTCAAAGTTATTGGTTTCTGCTCTGATCTTTATTACTTTTTATGCTTGTTTGACTTTATTTTTCTTCCTCATAAAAATTGTTATGGTAGCCCAGCTGGTGTGGCTCAGTGGATTGAGCATCTTTCCATGGACAGAGAAGTCCCATCTCAAATCCAGGTCAGGGCACATGCCCACGTTGCAGGCTCAATCTCCAGTAGGGGGCATGCAAGAGGCAGCCAATCGATGTTTCACTCTCACATTGATGTTTCTATCTCTTTCTCCCTTCCTCTCTCTCTAAAAATCAGTAAGAACATTAAACAAAATTTTTACAGTACAAACTTGCATTATTAATTGGAAATCTCTTTTTTTGTCATCTAAGTATTTAATATGACTGCATTAGCTACATACTTGGACTCCAAGTTGTATTTTTATTTTTACTTAGTTTAAACTGTGTTCTAGTTTTCTTTGAGACTTTCTTTGGCCTATACAGTTTGTCTAGTTAATTAGTATAATCATGAAAACGCTGAAATATCAGCATTTTGAGGAAATTAATATACAATTTTATCTTGGACAAAATATTTTCTCTTCTGAATTGAAAGTAAACTTGCCACTAGTATAGTTCATAATATTTTTAAAATAATTCTGCTTAAACAGCATTTCAGACTAGTGTGTTTGCATTTCTTAACATCGAGCCTATTTAATATGAATAAAAGAAAATGTCTCTTTAAAGCCACAGGAAGCTATTGTAAAAAGAGAGTTTACCCTAAGTTTTGTGGAGTGTTGTGCATGAGACTGAAAAATAATTGACCAAATATCATGGGTTGTAGTAAATCACTAAACCATCTACAATGATTTTATTACATTGTTCTCAGTAAACTAATTGAGGTAGGACTACTCGTGTTATTTCAAGGGAGTGATTTAGGCACTGGGTGGAATAGAGGCCAGTAAATTATCTCAAAGATCTGCTTATTCAGATTTGTCTAGAAAAGATGCATATTTTCCACAAAGGCACTAAACTTCATTTTCGTGGATTTGCATATAAGGATAATTTTAATTTTTCACAGATTATAATAGAATCCATTTAATTTTTTATCACTAGATTCATCATCTTCAAGTCACACACAAATCTCATTCCAAATATATATTTGGTTATCTCTTTAAAAGAGGACTTTGTACTTCTGAATAATAATACTAATTCACATATTGAACAATTATTCCCCATTCATTCTCTTCCTTAAGCATAAAATTATTGGTTTATTAAAATAAAAAAGACTCAGTAATGCAGATATGACAATTTAATTAGAAGACATGGAATTTTACTAAACACAGAAATGCTTTTTTAGGAAAGAAGACAATAGATTTAATGAACATTGTGACCTTCAGCCATATATTGAGACAGATCATTGTTTATTTCTCACTCTTCTTTGTGCTTAATTATTAAGTTTAAGTTTGTCAGTCTCTTAATTTTGTTAATGCAAAAATAAAGTATTTAGGTTTTTCTCAATAGCTAGATACTTCAAATTTGCTTCTCTGTATATTTTCTATGAAGGCACTAAATTTCATTTTCATGGATTTACACATAAGGATCACTTTGAGTTTTTCACATATTTTAATAGAATCCATTTAATCTTTTATCAGTAGATTCATCATCTTCAAGTCACACATAAATCTCATTCCAAATATGTAATTGGTCATCTCTTTAAAAGATGACTTTGTACTTCTGAATTATAATAGTAATCCACATATTGAACATTATTCACCATACATTCACATCTGGTTTTGTCTTCCCCTTTTTCGACTTAATTCATTTAGCATAATACCTTCTAGGTCCATTTATGTTGTTACAAATGGAAAGATTCCATTCTTTTCAATGGCCAGGTAATATTCCACTGTATATATGTACCAAAATTTTTTATCCTCTTATCTATTAGTGGGCACTTGGGTTGCTTTCATATTTTGACTATTGTAAGTTATGCTTCAGTGAGCATAGGGGTGGGTGTATTCTTTTGAATTTGTGTTTGGGTTTCTTCAGATATATATCCAGAAGTGGAAATGCTATGTCATAAAGCAATTCCATTTATAATTTTTTGAGGAACTTTCATGCTATTTTCCTTAGTGGCTGCACCAATCTGCATTCCTACCAACAGTGCACAAGAGAGGGTTCCCTTTTTCCCACATTCTGGCCAATACTTGTTTGTTCATTTATTGATGATAGCCATCCTGACAG